GAATTCAACCTTATCTTTGTCTTCCTATTTATTAACCCTGTAGTAGTTTGACAAATAGTTGATTTTACTTTATTCCGTTTAGCGTTTCCATTGACAATGGTATGGTACAATACCAATAAATTAAAACCTACACCATTAATAGAGGAATGAGTCTTAGTAATTGTTTTAGTATTAAACAAAACCAGTACAGTGGGGTCGGTGCATAGTGGGGACGGAGCATAGTTGGGTCGGGGCATAGTGGTGACGGGCAGGTCACAGGTTTACAGGAATTTTTAAATCTGAAAGTGATAAAATCACTTTCGAAAAAACGCTTCGATGCAAATCGGTAGTTAGTATTTTCAAGCCAGTACAGTCCAAACCAAGCACAGTATAAACCAGCAAAGTTAGAAAGTTTTAAATGAAGGTTCTGTATTTACAAATGGGCATCAAAGCGTTTATTTGAAAGTGATTTTATCCGAGAGGACTAGTACAGTAAAGTATTGGCATAATGTAATCAAAGCAATGAGGAAACGGAGAGGTCACAGGTCTACAAGAATTATTATAAATAAAAGTGATAAAATTGAATAAAATCGCTTTCAAATAAACGCTTTGATGCCCATTTGTAAATACAGAACCTTCATTTAAAACTTTCTAACTTTGCTGGTTTATACTGTGCTTGGTTTGGACTGTACTGGCTTGAAAATACTAACTACCGATTTGCATCGAAGCGTTTTTTCGAAAGTGATTTTATCACTTTCAGATTTAAAAATTCCTGTAAACCTGTGACCTGCCCGTCACCACTATGCCCCGACCCAACTATGCTCCGTCCCCACTATGCACCGACCCCACTGTACTGGTTTTTTTTTTTTTTGCAAAAACTTAGTGGACCAAATAACACAAATACAATGTCTTGTTATATTTTGTTGGAATGGTCGACGATTCATGTTTCAATCGTTTGTACTCCATAGTTTAAATTATAATCGCTTATTCTCAATAAAATTAATATTTATGTATTATATACTTCCATTATAGCAATCTCACACAAACTATTTATACTTCACAGATTATATTATTTCAAAGCTATATTATACTTCTATTTTACTAGATTGACAATGTACAAAATAAAATGCAACTAAAAAAACCTTTTCATAGATCCTTAAAATGTAAAGGGTGGGTTAGTGAAACGGGTTTTACCATTTAAATACATTAGAAAATCGCCGTTTTACTGCCTCATCCTGTATATTAATTTCTTGTTATTTTCTAAAGAAAAATCGATTTTCTTACATTTAAATTAAAATAAATCGTATACTGGTACTGTGATAGAGAAAACAATAAATTTTACCTACATTTATTACTTATTAGTTGAATATTACTAACGTGTATAGCCACTAGCAGTCGGCTGTTGCCTGTTATTTAACAATAACCTTTTATGGAGATTTTAAAAATTGTGTTTTTTTAATAATAGCATAGGAGCAGTATCATGATGTTAAATGTTCACGAGATTTGATCTAGTCATAAAATAAAGTATTATCATTTATGACTTAATTATTATTAAAATTTATCTTAATAGTAATAGTACATAGTAATAAAATAATGAAAATTTTTTTACAAAATTAGAGCTACAAGTTGATAAACTAAAAAAATAAAATTAGCACGAAGCAGATTATCTAATATTAGACAATTTGAACAATCAAGCGTGAATCTCTTTAAATGAATAACAGTATAACAATATACAAAACATTAGTTTTCCTTTAAAAAAATTGTGTAATAAAAAAAACATTTTGAGGCGGTATACTGCATAAAAACCAACACTTAATCTAAATCCAAAAAACAACAGTCCTCTTCATTATTTGCAGGTAGTTGGACATTAAATACTCATAGTTAACCTTCGGTAAGGTTATATAACGCAGGCTATAAAATAACGAGTAACGACAGTGGTTTTGTCGTATCAGAATAATTAAGTGTCTTAACAAGTACACGGACAGGTTTTTTTCCCAAAAAATCGAGTGTCTACTATAATCAGTCACACGATTTAGTTTCTCACATCTGGTACACTGGGTTTTTAGTTTAAAAAAAACGGTTTTTTTTTTGTTTTTTCAACTTTCGTCTGTGAAGACTTAAACTTTTTCACTATTACCCCCCCAAAGTTCAAACTAGACAAAATTTGTGATTTATAGAGTTGCTATTCGAAGGAATTGGTCTAGTATTAAAAAAGTTACAGTGTATACAGCGAAAAAAAAAGCCCACATCAGAGTAAAACCAATACCTTCTCGCTTTGCATCGAAGCTAAAACATATTTCTGGATTTTTGTGTAAAAGACATCAAAAGTGGTCAAATTATATGTTTTTTGGGTCGGTGATTACGAATTTAATATCAGTTCTCAATTTTAATCATCCGGAAAGAATTTAAGTAAAAAAAAAAAAAAAAGTTGAATTTGTGTAAACTTTAAGTCAAAAGTGGTACTTGAGCACAAAACCTAATAGTATCATTCTGCATAGATATAAATAAAATTGTTTTAATGATTTGATCAATTTTTTTTAAATATTTTAGGTGTTTTTGTTAAAATATACGCAATGTGCGAAAACACGGTTTTCCGGCAATTAAAAAAAAACAGTAGTGCCGAATTTTTCACCCGCTTAATATGTTATGGAAACATATGAGTTCCAACTACTGGCAAATTTTCAACCCAAAAGTTTTAAAATTACGGCTAAAACCCCCGAAAAACAAAAAAACTTGTACCCCCCCTAGGGGGGCGGGAAATGGGTATATTTTGAATTTGACAAAACTGACGTGCGCGGGCATACCAAATAAATATTTCTTATACATTTCAACTCGATCCGACTCTTTTTCTCGATACTATAGCCAGTAAAAGTTCTAACTTAAAAACTCGTACGGTTTTTTTTTTTGTTTTTTCAACTTTCGTCTGTGAAGACTTAAACTTTTTCAACTTTTACCCCCCCAAAGTACAAACTAGACAAAATTTGTGATTTATAGAGTTGCTACTCGAAGGAATTGGTCTAGTATTAAAAAAGTTACAGTGTATACAGCGAAAAAAAAAGCCCACATCAGAGTAAAACCAATACCTTCTCGCTTTGCATCGAAGCTAAAACAGCTTTTTCTAGACCGAAATTTGATTACCAGTTCAAAGGGTAAAATTATAAAAAGTCTATGTATTATAATATAAACTTCAACGCATTAAAATATAAAAAAAAGGATTATACGACTCTAATCAAAGGATCTAACTGTAGGAGTGTAACTGGAGTACAAGTGCAGCGTGTTGGGTAGGGTGGCGCGAAAAATAATCAATCTTCGAAATGTTAATGTGCCAACATTTAAAATTGTTCTATACATAAAAAAAGAGACTTGGTGAAAATTTGAGATAAAAAAAAAAAATTTTATTAGTCGCTAAACGCGTTTTAAGTAAATTGACCAAAAATTCTCAAAAAACCAAAAAGTTACTTAAATTATAACATTTTTGGTCAAAAATCATCATTAGCACATCTAAATTGTAGTATTTTTTGCGTTGAGTACAACTGTTTGAGTTTCAAAATCCTAAGTTAAAAATTAATTACGTAATTAACAAAAATTCGTAATTAAAAGGTCAATTTTCAATTAAGCTTAAAGTAACCAAAACAATTTTTTTTTTAAATTTTTAATAGTTTATTTTGTTGAACGTTATGTATGTTTCTAGTGAAAACATTTTTTTTCATTAATGTTAAAACATACCTTTTTTTGTCATTTTTTTGTGCACCAAAATGAACGTTTTACTGAAAAATGTGTATTATGTGTCAAATAATAAAATACTTATCGTTATGAATTTTAGCTGTTATATTTGATTACAATTAATTTAATTTATATATTTTAAATTATATATAACACAATATAAAAAATTATTTATTGCTTAAAAATGTATATGTTTCAAAAACAATTTAAATTGACAGCTCCTGAATTGAAAGGTATTCAGCAGTTCAATTTGTTTATTGGCATTGATTATTTTTTTTGATATTTTATATACTTCTTATCGTAAATGACGGCATTTAAAATTTCATACTTAAATAAATTATATACTTACTTTATTACAAAATGTAGTATACACCTCATAGATGAGGTGGAAAGAGACAACATAGAGGTGATTTCCAGAAAGAAAGTCACATTGTAAAAAACGGTAGTAAGGCCAGCAATGATGCATGGAATGAGTGTTGGCTGTTATGCACTGAATAATAGAGATGAAACATCATACCCTCTTTCATTGTCGCTTTAACATAAATAATAAGGGCAGGATACAAGTGAGGCGAAATGTTGTAGAAGAAAATACGATTTCGTGAAATTTGAACAGTTAGCTTTCTCTCTTACTGGAAATTTACTTTTGTGTTTTATCTCTCTACTAGCCAGTCAATAATAAATTGGCCTATAAATTGTCCTCCCACTTTCTAATCATTGTATCATAGATTCAACATACGCAGAAAAACCGCTCCACGTACTTTTTTGGCAACCCAATTTGCAAACCTACATTAACCACTGGATTTCTGTGTCCATTCGTTATCATAAGGGTTATCGTATTTCATATTCCCTTAAAAACTGACCGTCGTATTCGGAGATGGGCTTTGATAGAAAATTTTGATACGTTCTTGAATCATAATGCGCTTATAAATTTACTTTTCGAAACATATTCGTTTCAATTGATACTTAAATATCTCAAATTCTATCTCTGGATAAAATATATATTTGTCTAGAGGCGCGGAGAGCGCCGTTCAAATTATTTCAATATTTTTAGGCCTATGCCACGATTACTGATCTTTTGCTCGTACACAATTAGTAGCATCTAATAATATTGTTAGCGGCCATTATTGTAATTGACATGAATACGTCTTGTGGCTGTCCAAAATTTCGCCATTAGTTTTACCTAACCTAACCTGAATTTGCGACTTCAAGAAAAGAGCTGGGAGGGGAGGAGGAGAAGAGAGAGAGGAGATTATTGATAAGAGGATTAGCTTATAAGTAGTCATGTGAGGAGGATGAACATGAATCATCGTATAGGTACCATAAGACATATTCATGACCCAATGTTTTTCCTTCAAAGGAAAAACTAACGATTATTTTTATAGTTTTTTTTTCTTGTCTTTTTGCAGATCGCGACCCATGGCATTCCGGCAACCGGTTGACGCGCATCGTGACCACGGAATTCCCACATTACTTTGCCATCGTGTCCCGGGTCAAACAGGAAGTGCACGCAATCGGACCGGAGGGCGGTATGGTATCTTCGACGGTGGTGCCTCAGGTGCAGGCGGCGTTCCCGCAGGGGGCTCTCACCAAGCGCATCAAAGTCGGCCTACAGGTAAACTTGTTTAAACCGCGGCGAAACGTGGCCAGCACGTGCCTAAAGAAAATCTCCGTGAACCACGTGCCGAAAAAAAAACGGTTCTCGCTAATGTGGTAAACGTTAAGTGCGCTCGAGGGCGTTAAACGGCGATGACGGCCAATTTGGTCCACAGAAAATCCTAAAAATATGTATAAACTGACGATACGCCTTTAACATACACGCTTTCGACTAATTTACACTGCGCCAATAACAAAAACGTTACATTTTGTTTACTACCTATTCTATCCCATAATATATTACAATAATGGTATAAGGGCGAAAAAAATACCAAAATAATTATCTAGTCACTAATCTATATCCAAATTGAAAACGACACTAGTCACACCCGTCACCAGGACGTAATGCCAAACTTACCTTGTATCAACTAATATAATTTAATCGAATTATTAGTTTATATTGATTACCTAATGTATTATTTTTTTATTATTATAACATTAAAAAAATATATATATATTTTTTCAAAATTAAGCAACAAAAAAAACGTGACATATGAATATTGTATGTGCTCATTGCGTGATTAATTTGTTTTTAAGGGATTTATTGTTTAGCATTTTAACATTAAAAAAATGAGTCTAGTGATTTACTTCAAGGTTTGGCATACAGTCAAAAGCTTAATTAATGCGTCTGATTGAAATAACATATTATATTTGTACAGTCAATGAAACATCCTTTTTATGTATTTGAAATAATGTGAAATCATATTATTTTTATTCTTAAGACTTATATATGTATTTATATTTTGAATTTAAACTCATCGCTTTATAATATCATTTCCACTAAATGTATACGATAATAGCACGTTTTTTTGTGTTTTATTTATGATTTTTTTTTTTTTTACTTTAAAGCCCAATAAATATAGTATATACAGTTTTTCATTGAACTAACATGTTTTTGTCATTTAATGTTTTCCGTGCTCAAATAGTTTATTTCATATATAGAATTATACTTCATGTGCTAAGTTTTTCATTATCACAATAATTAATATGTTTTTAAGTTTGCACATCAATTATGAAATAAACTATCTAAGCTTAAACCTGAAAATTCCTTTTTATCTTAGATATTCCAATTTACAATACTTCGAGAAACGATATTGTACATTTTAAAATTTTAAATAAAGTTATCAGATCAATACTAATTAAAAACTACTATTTATTGGGCCATCATTCAATTTTTTTTTTGTTCCCTTTAAGTGTTTTATTTTTTTAATATCATACCATTTTTTTTTTGCTTCACTGTTATAACGTTGCTTTTTAACACGGCTTACAGTTTTACATAAGACACTAATTATTAATTTACCCCCGCAATATATGTTAATGCTTGTAAAAGAGTATACGTTTTATTTTAATTATATAATTTGCTGAATTATTTTTGATGGCCCTTTATTAGTAGTTGATGCAATTAATAGAAGCTTAACCCATTCGTCGTATAAGACATTAAAAACAAAAGCAACTAATTTAAAATATTATACAGCGAGCTGAAATAGTTTACACTGTAAAGGTACATACTAAACCTAAAATAACATGACATAAGGTCAGCTTAGTCATCGAAAAAAAAAATCTGATACCGAAGACATACTAATAGGTAATCTACATTCAAGTATAAGATCCTCATGAAAGTAATAAAACAAATTTCAAACAAGACTTGTAAACATAGTATTAGAAACTAAGTTAGGTAAGTATAATGAATGTAGGACACAGTTTGTATCCCTCTTCAATTTTTACAAAGGTATAATAAGTTAAATCTTATATGTTTGCCTTAAATATCTACAAGTCTATACAAAGCTGAAGAAACTAAGACTTCCTGAATAAAATGACAAAACAAGAAAAACGTCGCAAATGGTTGAAAATATACATTCATTATGTATCACAGAAGATTTAGAAAGTAATACTTAGCAAATGTATACTTACATAGTTATAATTATGATATTATGTGTACAACTGTAATTTGTAACAAACATAATTACATCGAGTGTTCCAAAATGATATACAAAGGTACAAAAGAGAATTAAACTATACATATTTTGTTAGCACGTTAAGTCCTCAAAAGTCTGCTATTCTTTCATGTACGCTATAAAATAATTTACCAAGACTTATTTTGATTGAAGGAAGAATGCGTGATTGAAACATTCCGTCAAAAACGTATTTTTAAACACATCACTAAAAATGGTAACTTTAACGATTACAATTTAATGGACCATGTCCAATTTACTATACGTTCATGACACTACTATATGTCTAATGGTTCATTAGACTTTAATGAAAGTCTATGCAACCAACATAAATACAAAACAGCCAGACAGAATTTACCACTCCTATTACAATAATAATATACTTAAGTTAATAAACCTAAATAAATATTAATGTATAAAATGTCAAAAAATAATTCTTCGGTGGACTATTATATTAATATTTAACTACTTAATAAGACTACAGCATCATAGATAATAGGTCTTATACTGTCGTTTTATTGTTTTAATTGAACTAAAAATGCAGGATATTATTATTACAGGATATCCGATATTCAACAACACGGTCTTCAGATCTAAAAAAAAAATTGTTCTGATTAATAAATACGACAAAACCCGGAATTTTTAGATAGGAAAAAATTCCGTTAAATATAGTCTTGGGACGGTTTCCAATGATATATTATAGACATGAAAAACTAGTGCTTAACCAAAAGACTTTATTTTTTTAAAAATAATAAACAAACGCTTTTTTTATTTAAATAAATACATAAACTTTTAGAGTTCACCATTTTACTTAATTTGATCCAAAAATTCTTCGATTAAGCACCTTATGCCTAGAATATGATGTATGAATTTCATTGGAATCCGTCTAGTGATTTTTTAAATATAGTGGTCACCGTCAACAATTAAGCAGATAACTTTGCCCAGACTTCGTATTTTGATTTGAAATTCATATACAATTTTCTTGGAGTATAGTGTTAAAACTTGGTATTATATTTCAAACAAAAAACATTATACAACAGTTGAAACAAATTGTTATATAATTGTTAAATTGCCTATTTTTTCAACTTACTTATTAAACCTAACCCCTTAAATGTGCAAGTGCACTACTGCAACCATAAGATACACCACTTAATAATACTGAACGCAAAAGCGAGAACGGTTTGATACTGGCCTCGAAAATCGTTGAACATAATTATTGTTCCTAACGTTGAAGTTTGGGATTTTCACAGGCTCAACCAATTCCTCCGGAATTGACGATTAAACTGTTGGGCAATCGAGTGGCCGTTTCACCGATAGTTACCGTGGAACCGAGACGACGGAAATTCCACAAGCCCATCACTTTGACATTACCTTTGCCACAGGCAGCATCCAAAGGCATGATCAACCATTACACGGGGGACGCACCAACACTACGGTTACTCTGCAGCATAACAGGTGGGCAAAAGCTACGAATTGAATTTATGTTTATTGCAAAGCCGTTTCCGTCCTATTTTCAACAACCTTTTGCATCCAATATAATATAATACAATAACTTGGTTGTGTATTACAAATATGATTGATTGTCGAAAAAAAAAAACACTAAACTTTTGTACAAATTTGTTATGTAAATTAATTTAAAATGTACATTTTTCGATTAAAACCAGTTTTTATTTTTGGCTCTCGCTGTTGCGTAACACAACACGATACTGCACTCTTTTGACAGGGTTGTTTGGGAAAAGATCTCGCAAAGGTAATCAACTAAAGAAATCAAATACATATTTTATAACAATATTAGATATTAATTATGACTTCACCAAACTTATTACTTATTTCTTTTCGACACCCTCGTTTATTTTGTTTATTTCTTTAAGCTAATACTATTTTTATTATATATCTATGGTTTAGATACATTTTGTACATACCGTCTAAAAATAAAAATCCATTTCGTTTAAGTGTGTGAACATGATTTTCAACATTATACCTTGAACAAAGTAAATTGCATGGTCATTAACTAGTTGAACTTTTCACGGTTAATTAATAAAAATGTAATAGTGTACGTTTCATTTCTTCAGTATCGCCATAATAGTGACCATCTTTAATCGTTAATCTCCGGCCATATTGTACAAATATATATTTAAAAAATATTATAGCCACTTTAAAGACATCTTTTTCATCAATAAATCGAATGGAATTTAAATGAATTAAAAACTGTTTAGAAAACTCTTAATCTATTAATAAGTACGTGATCTTTTCTGAAACATATTAATGTATTATAAATGTAACTTAAGCTTTAGCTTCTGTAATATAAATAAACTTCTATTGTCGAGTCTTCGAAAAAATGTTTTTTTCCTATTTAAACCGATCTCGTACTTAAGCTGCATTCATTGTAATTCAAACAGGAGGAACTTCCAGAGCTCAGTGGGAAGACGTAACTGGTTCGACACCTTTAACGTTTATAAACGACTGTGTGTCTTTTACTACGACAGTATCTGCTCGATTTTGGTTGATGGACTGCCGGAATGTGGCAGACGCATCGAAAATGGCGACGGAACTGTATCGCGAAGCGATTCACGTACCGTTTATGGCTAAGTAATATTAAACATGATAAATGTCCAGCAGAATATAGAATGAAAACTGATTTGTAAATACTCAATTGAAGGTTCGTGGTGTTTGCCAAGAGGACGGACGTGAACGAAGCCCGAATCAGACTGTTTTGCATGACTGACGATAGGGAAGATAAAACTCTAGAATACAAAGAACAATTCACCGAGGTTTCAAATAGCAGGGACGTAGAAGTAAGGACCTAAATCCGTAAGTTGTTTAATAAAATGTTTCAATGTTTTTTTTTTCTCAACTCGCCCTAGGTACTCGAAGGCAAACCGGTGTACATTGAGTTTGCTGGTAACCTAGTGCCCGTCACCAAGTCCGGCGAACAGCCCAAACTAGTAGTCCGAGCTTTCAAAGAAAACAGACTACCATTTACGATGCGCGTGAAAGATCCAACAGCAGAACCTCGGTCGTGGACTATTATTATGAAAGAGCCAAAGGTGCGGTCGTTTACTTAAGAAATACTTCCAAATTCCTACAACAACCTTTTTATAAATGTACGACTTTGTTGCAGGTTTCTAAGAACGAAGTATCCCAAACGCCAGTTTGTGTTTTACAATTTGCATTACCCGAAAATATTGTACCTGACACTGACATCAACGATGATGAACTATATAATTTCTCATACACACATGACTCTAGTAAGTACCCAATAAAAATATAACATTCGTTAATTACTAATATATGTTAAATTTATTCCAAAATAATTATTTTTAAGACCTGGAACCCAATAAACGCACTGAACTCAGGATAACTGATATAAGTAACTTTGTATCGGATGATTGGGTAAGTCTAGCGCATGAACTAGGGTTCCAATCAAATGAAATCGCTCAAATTAAAAAGGAATATCCAGAGAGCAGCAGTCAACAATGTATGAGTATGTTAAACCTTTGGATGAACGAAATTTCTGCACAAGATTCGGGTATGTTAATTTTATTAATAATACATTTCTATAGTTACTACTTCAATATAAACATTGTTGAAATTGTCTTATTATTATTCAATTTTTGTCCATGTTTACGATGAAATATACTAATATCATAAGAAGATTTTCTTTCTGTTAAAACTTTTTTGTATTAACAATTTAAATAACTGATAACTAGAGAAATGTATAAAAAATATATAATTCTTTCGTTTTTTCTAATAGTTTTTACTATTAATACAGTTACAGTATTAGAAAGTGCGTTGAGCAATATAGGACGTACAGATGTGGTAGAAAAATGTAATTTTGCAGAAATTGGACACTATCAAACCCAAAAACCTATTCATGCAGAGTCTAACCAACAACATAGTAATTATTTTTAAATTTACTTTATAGAGTTTTAGTTAATATTGCAATTCACCTAGGTTATCGTCCTGACGACAAGTACGCTGCCGAAGAAAAGGTGGTCATCGAAGATGAAATAACCAAAACGGTCACTGAGAGACGGATAGAAATTGAACAAAAAATTACTGGTGAGCCAGTGATTATTGAAAAGAAATCAGAACCACCAGTTAAGAAAGAACAAGATACCTCCACAAAAACTGAGGAGTTGTCTGCTGAACCCATCGAACCAACTGAAGTTTCATTTGAACACAAAAGAATGTCGTTTGAACGGGGAGTGTCTATCGATCAAGTGCTACAAGAGGATATTCCAGTTAAGGAAAAACCAAAATCGTTAGAAGAAAAGAAAATGGAGTCAATTGAAGAACACGGACGTGATGTAGATGTGGATGCGACCAGTTTGACATTCCACGAGAAAAGACTTTCATTTGAACAAGGAATACCAGTTAAGGAAATTATACAAAAGAAAACCGAGGAAACTGTATCGGAAAATGTGGCCGAATGTACAAATGATCCAGAGTGCTTAAGTGAAACTGAAAAATCGTTGACAAAGAGTGAAACAACGTCTTCGGTGTATGAAAACGGTAAAACATATGAAATATACTGTTACTTGTTGGTTAATGCATTAACTTATTACAGAGTATTATACAACATATTATTTAAATACGTTGTAATCGTTATAACTTTAAATAGTAATATTGTTTTCAAAGTACATAACTTAACATGCATGTAAACCATATTACATCACCGATTTCTCGACAGTTAGGCGGGCTAAGACTTGAATTTTGGAAGGGAGTTAATGTCCCCTCTGCTTACCCCGATTCCACCTATGTTGAGAGTAGCATTAGTAGTAAATATTTCAATTTATTTGTTTACGAGTTAATATAATTATATTTAATGAACAATATTACTTATGTTTTTAGCTTTATCTTCTAACGGTGAATTATACGCTCTACGATTATTTCAGAAAATGCTTGAATAACAATCATAATATAATGAACTGAGAATAATTTTATTTTTTAGACGACATAATTCCTGACCTAAAACCAGAGACAACCAGCGGTATTGATCGAAGCGATCAAGATAAAGCTGAAAAGAAAAGACGAGATTCGACGTTATTAGAAGAAGTGACTCAAGGCTTAGAGAAATTGGATGCGTCCGGTCTGAATGTAGAAGAAAAAAGTAGGGTTCATAATATTTATATGTTGGAATTGAAGTACATAATCGTACGCATTTATAGCTGCTCTACTGACGCCACAATCTTCCAAAACTCCACCACCCAGCCCAGCAGATTTTAAGGATATACAGCGAAAATCATCAGAAGAAATAGTTATTTCAAAAGAAGTTATAGAGCCCACAGGTAAGCACTGTAGAACGCACTAGAAAAATTATTGTTTGCGATTTTACTTACTTAAAAGTTTACAAATAACTACGCTAGCCGAAATTTGTTGCATACATACCATTTCACTTTTAAAGTATTATTGAATTTCCGAACACTTCAAGTTATTAAATGTAGGTCGACAAGAGTTTATGGTGTAGTTTAAGGTTTCTTTTGGAACAATGGCTTCTGCCATCCGTTAATGCAATAATCAGATTACGTTTCGACAAACAACCACAAGTGGCAGGAGGGGGGTATATTGTCGGTATTAGTCGAGCTGTGACGAGAACGCCAATTCTAGAAAATATTGTATTTAGTTTTTCACTAGAGACTCGTAAAGGACATATTAACAAATCAAATTTAAAAAGATAAATGTTCATAGGTACAACAAAATCGTAAGTACTAAATTTTATAAAATACAATTGTATTTGTTAAAATATGAAGAGATTAAAGCAATATCATTTACTATTATTCACCATGTAATAACATTATGATTATTCATTTAAAAATATAGATGATCAATTAATTTTTTTTAATATTTTATCCAACACCCACCTATGTTACGTTAAATAAATTTTTATTTTTATGACGATTTAAAAATTAAAAATAATTACAACAAAATTCGGCTTGCGTTTGTAGGTACCTCTGAGTAATAAATACTAATTTTTAAACACAGAATAAATTCAAGAGTAGATTTGTTCTGTAATTTAAAGTTTAAACACTTTAAAGTGATATTATATTTATTATAGTCTAGTAATTTTTTTGAATGAGTGACATGAACACGTGACACAAATAGTATATATATATTGTGTTGCAATTATTAAACTTTTATATTAGATAGGTTTCTTGAACACAAGAGCTAATAATACATTTTGCATAAAAAATAATAATCAGTTAATATGGACGTTTTGCAACACAATATTTCCTTTTGATCCTTCTATCATCATAAAACTACATTTATAAATCATTTCTTAGCAAATTTGAAATAATCAAAAACCAATTTTCGCTTGTGCAATATCTATGAAGAATTTATGGCTTTATTGTTTTCAGTTCATGGTATAGCATTTTTACATTAACATTTACAAATCATAAAAGATTACTTGATTATGAAAAATGTAATGATGTTATATATATTTTTTACTGCAATATGCTTATATGAAATGTCCGTTTTGTACTACTTTTCTGGGTTTTTTGTGTAAAAAATGTACTTGTTACGTTTGTTGTGGTGCTTTGATTTTTGTTCTGTTGTTTTTTAAAAATCAATAGCAAGCAAATTGCAGAAGCAAAACTAACAACATACAAGACGTTATTAAATTATTTACTAGGTACTTATTAAACTCTAATCATTACATTTTTAACCGGAAAAATATAATATAATATATTATAGACTATGATATACAGTATAAAGGATTTACCTCATAAAGTTAACTTAACATTAACTATAATATAATAGTAACTGTAACAACATAAACAATATAAGACTATACGACACTGCAAAAATATTTAAAATATAATATCCACATATTATTTTTCTTGCATTATTTTACTATAACATTTATTTGAAATACGCAAGACTTTATTTTCATTTTGAGTAACTGTAAGATATTTACAAACTAAGTGTTTTAAAAATTGATAAAGTTATATTTATAAAAATAACTAAATTATATGATTACTAATAATTAAACTATATGTACAAATTTCGTAACTGTGTTGAACCAAATCCTAAAGTAAAAACAATTATAGATATTTTCAATACAAATGTTTTAGTAATTTAATATTAAATTGTCTTTTATGCTACTAAGAGTTGATGGTACAAATATTTTTAACTATTTATTTTTTTAGGAAAAAACAAATTTTAAATGGAAAATAAAATGTTTTTAAACAAAAATCTAAATTATCTCTAAATATAATATATTTCCTTAACTATAAGATATCACCATAAATTGATGATATACTATAGATAGACAACAGTAATATAATAACTAACAATACAATTTATAGTTAGATTTCTGGATTTCACTATGTTTTAAGTTATAATAATAACTTCTGAAATCCAAGAAAGGAGCATCAAATATTTGCACGGTTGTTGTCTATTTATACTATATATTTTAATCTATTACATTATGAACGTTATCTATACGCCATGACATACAATTTACATGAAAACTGAATACTGAAGTGTTACACTAAAATGTATATAATTTGCCTGTTTAACGAAACTTCTATGGATTGAAAATGTTATAAATGTTTGATTGAGGAATTATGATTTAAATATTTTTAACCGTGGAATGGACTAAAAACGTCACAATAACTTTTTTTATGACAACAATATAAAACAACCCACCTAAAGTATTGTAACTGTTTATGAAAAACATTCATGGAAATCAAAGCACCATCGACACAACAAGAAAAACTACAGAAAAGTGAGAAACCAAGTCACGTTATATTATTTGCACAACTAAATTGCTGACGCTTCATTTCCGGAGTAGAATTTTGCTTAAGAATGAAGAGCTATATTATTACTATAATGTCTCGCTTTTCCGCGATATTTATATTTTATAACTAAAACACATTCACCAACATAAGCCCTATCATTTCACAATATATCCTTTAAACAAAATCGTTATGGCGTGTGTGGCTGTGTATAACTATAAGAAATAAAAAAACATTAGTGATATATTGATGTTTTGGACACAGCATCCTGGCCACAGGATAATGACGATTTGCTGGAGGTCCACGGTTTCGGTGAGCATTTTAATGGTATCGAAACGCCAAATTTGGCTAAATCAAAACACCCCAAATCATTGGCTGACATTGATGACGAATTTGAGGATCGGTCGGTTGTCATACACCCTATTTTTGATCAGTTAAAAATTGACCCGAGAGAACAGTTACAAATTAACAAACGACTAGACGATTCGCCTGCATTTGATAGTCCATTAACGGATAAAAGCATATCTCATGTTGATACAGGAATAAGTTTAACAAGAGAATATTCTGATACGTTAACGAGTTCGGGATTTAAAACCAAACCTAAACAGGATACGCCCTTCGATGAAGAGGCCGAACTCACTGATTCTGGTCTTAGTCCAATTCAACCTGATGACGTCGGGCTTAATGCAAATGAAATATCAGATATTAAAAAAAAAATTGACATGTATGATGCTGCAAACAGTCCAATAACATTCTCTGAATCAGTTAGCCTTTCTCCTTTCGAATCAGAAACTATTGATGTGGCTACAATTACGGAAACAATACGCACAATAGACGTGGCTAATAGCCCCATAGAATATAAATGTCAGAGGATCTCAGGCTCCAAAATTTACGACTTAGTGGAATATACTGTTTCAACGGATACAAGCACTAAGTGTACGTCTCAAATAGGAAGCCAACTGTTACAAATTGTCAATATAGAAAAAAAAATGTTGGAAAATATGAATAAAATAATTACACCTGATAATAAAAATGATGAAACTGACTTTGTAGTTAACTTAGATAAACAAATTATAACTCAGAAAAACAGTGATACGCCTGAAATATGGAAATCTATCCAAATGGATATCGCTGCACCAAAAGATGAAACTGAGGTAAAAAAAGAAGTTGAAGAGATCATTACCAAAACAATAATAGATACAGGAGATAAGAAAATAGAAGATATAAAAACCTCGCAAAGTAATAAGAAAACAATCAAAGCGCTAAAAGCCATAATTGACATAGAAGAAACAGAACAAAATGAAATACATGATAGGTTAATGAAAACGAATAAACTAATCACAGATTTAGAAGTCAACAAAACACCTGTAATAGAAAAAATAATTGTTCCGAAATTCATTAAAACTTCTACTGTTAATGAACAATCTGATGAGCTGGATCCATCATACATCAAGTTTAGCAGCGATAATGAATATAATACAATTTATTTATTACCAGAAAATAATAAAAACAGTAATAAAAGTGACAATACTAAAGGCGGCCTAGAATATAATTCAGCAAAAACAGCTAGTAATCCAGTTAGTATTTTTGAAGATGAAGATGAAGAACAGGAATCTGAAATTTTCGAAAAATTTACAAAAAAACACCTAAAAAAAACGGTTGACTTAGCTAGAGTGGATGACAACAGGGGTAAAAGTGAAAAAGACGAGAATCAAGATGAAAATGCAGTTATGGTTAATAAAAATGAAAATGAGTTAAAATGTACTAGCGTGGGAGAAAAATCACATAAAAGTGTTTCAAAAACTATAGAGAAAGGTTTAAAAGATATTACAAAAACACTCACTAGTATTGTTAAGACAATGGACGTAAAAGAGAGTTCAACTAAAAGTAAAGGAAAAGAGAAAGAGAAAGAAAAAGAGAGTGTAGATTACGATATTAAAAAAAGTTTGCATAAAGAAAATCTCTCGTTTGAAATAACAGAAACACCCTTTTCAAAAGATTCATTAGATATGGGCTTATCCGACTCAGCAGGTACAAAAACTACTTACCAAAATAAATTCAAAGGCTTAACGCACACTCCTGATAATTCATTACTATCCAATGAACCTGATAGAAGTATGAATGAAAAAATTGAAGTGCAAACTCCAGTAGACAACATTTCTAAAAAAAACAATATAATATGGGTAGTTAATGAAGGTAACCAAAATGAACAAAAACAAACAACTAATACTACATTAAAAACTAAACCGACAAAAACTGACTACTTAACATTGCATACAACTGTAGCTAATATTCCCAAAGGAATTGTACGTCACAAAGATGTAAGGGATGGTCAAAAGATCTATCTTGAAGATTACTTAAAACAGGATTTTAAAAACGAACTCACCAAAAATACTTGTACAACTGAACAGACACCATTTAATAATTCTAAAATAATAAATATAGAATTAACAAAACAATCAGATAAAAAGGAACTTTATGTTAAAAAAGAAGAAACATTTGTCGACATTCAAACACATAAAATAGTAAAAGAAAATAAGGATGAATGTACTAAAGAAAACTGTAGTAAAAGTAACACAAATAAACAATTAATCAAAACCGCATCATTAGAAAAGGAAGTTGTAGAAGACGAGTCTAAGTCCCTTGAACATTTCATATTATGTGACCCAAAAAAAAGAGAAATTATACCCGACAACTACTCAACTAAAACATCTAATATACATAAAACTGGCACAGTAACAACAATAACCAATAATACAATAGAGATACAAAATAATGTATTCAAATCAGTAACAGAAAGCTTAATAGAAACAAAAACACCGACAGTTTCGAAAGAGCCAACTCCCGACGCGACAAATATTACTGAAACTACCCCTAAATTTGATATTTACTCCGATACTAAAAGAACATCTGAATTAAAAACAATTAAAGATACCACTGATAAAGTGGTTTCTGAACATTCCTTATCTGCTACAGTTTCAGTAGTGTCCACCCCTGACACAAAAGATACAACTGAGACTTCCTCTATCTCTGACAAACTTCAAGATATCAACATGATACCTAAAATAACAAAAAAAGAGGACTCCTCTGATAAAATAGCTTCTGAACTTTCCTTGTCACCGACAGTTTCGAAAGAGTCAACTCCCGAAGCGACAGATATTACTGAAACTACCCCTAAATTTGATATTTACTCCGATACTAAAAGAACATCTGAATTAAAAACAATTAAAGATACCACTGATAAAGTGGTTTCTGAACATTCCTTATCTGCTACAGTTTCAGTAGTGTCCACCCCTGACACAAAAGATACAACTGAGACTTCCTCTATCTCTGACAAACTTCAAGATATCAACATGATACCTAAAATAACAAAAAAAGAGGACTCCTCTGATAAAATAGCTTCTGAACTTTCCTTGTCACCGACAGTTTCGAAAGAGTCAACTCCCGAAGCGACAGATATTACTGAAACTACCCCTAAATTTGATATTTACTCCGATACTAAAAGAACATCTGAATTAAAAACAATTAAAGATACCACTGATATAGTGGTTTCTGAACATTCCTTATCTGCTACAGTTTCAGTAGTGTCCACCCCTGACACAAAAGATACAACTGAGACTTCCTCTATCTCTGACAAACTTCAAGATATCAACATGATACCTAAAATAACAAAAAAAGAGGACTCCTCTGATAAAATAGCTTCTGAACTTTCCTTGTCACCGACAGTTGTTACTGGAACATCTTTTATTTCTGTAAAATTACAGGATTTTAAAATAAAAAATGACATTAAAGAAATATCTGAAAAACATTTCAATGATGATAACACCAATGACACTATGTTGATATTCGACCATAAAGAGGTTGATAATGTCCAGAAAGTTTCTACGAGTATTACAACAGAAAATCTATTGGAAACTAAAACTTCTAAAGCGGAAACGCTCTTAGAAATTAGTAAAGTACTTAAACCGGACGATTTTATTGACAATCTTACATTACAGTCTCCTCATTCTTTTTCCTCTTCAGTGTTAGAGTCCATTATTGACGCTCAAGATTTAACTGAAACATCCCTTACTTCTGACAAATCTCAGATCATAAAAATAACTGATGGCATTAAAGAAACATCTGAAAAACATTTAGACGATGATCAATCTTTAAATACTAAATGTTCATCTCAAACCAAAGTGTTAGATAATGAACAAAAATTGTCCACTAGTATTATTTCACTGAAAAGCCCATTTAAAACTAAAACTTGGGTTGAAGAAAAACCATTGGAAGTAACAAAAATGTTTAGTAATGTCGATTTATTAGACCGTAGAAATGAACTTTCTGATGTTTCTTTGTTACCAACTGGTTCAGTCCAAACTATACACTACACTGACGAATTAAATAAAACGCTTTTGACGAATGATTTATCATCTCTAACTGCTTGTTCCAATACCGAATATACTGATCATATCTGTTCTACTAGTTTAAATAATGAAGTTACTATTAACAAACCAATTCAGATTATTTGGGAAGTATCAAAATCTCCAGGCTTGAGATCCGGTATAACTCTATTAGAGGATGAAAATAAACTGAAAGATTTGGAGTGTAAGGTTTCAGACGATACTGTGTATGATAATACTATGAAATCGGAATGTAGTGATGATATTAATGTTGTAGACAAAAGTAATGCGATTTTCAAAAGTGACGTTCATAGTATGCCGGATTCGTTGTATGGATCAAACTATAATAGCGATTCATTGGTTAGCTCGGTTGGGTCACTATCATCTAAACTTGTTTCTGGTCAGACGTATATGGAAAAAAATGCAGTAGCGTGTAGGATTGAAAGTACCCCGATTTTGAGCTTAAGTGGTACAGGTAAAGCTAGTTTAAAACATGATTCAGCGTCTTTTAGCAGTTTTTCAAATACAAATACTTCTTCTAAGTCTTCATCTGGTCCTACAACATATCCATGTCCAGTAACTACTGATAAAATAAATATTTCAAAAACTAAGTACAAAAAAGAAACCCGCTCTTATATTAAAACAAAACCTGTATCAGACATTTCTGGGGATTTGGCGAAACATAAATTATCTTCCAGTAAACATTTACCGATTACAGCATCTAAAGTAGAATCAATTACGCGAAACACTGAAATAAAGAGGCCGCCTTTGCTTTCTAAACAAAGACATATCATTAGCCATGGTTCCAAATCTCTTGATTCTTCTAAAAAACTAAATGTAGGTTTAAATAAACCTGTTGTTGATCAAAGTTCTATTACAAAAATAAAAAACACCGAAATAAAAAAAGAAAAATCCTCATTTGAATCAGGTACAAAGGTCAAATTATCAACAAAGCTATCCGATGAATTAAAACCAAAATCTATAAAGTCTATTGATAATACAAACGTAAATACTGAAAAACCAATTACAAAAACATCAAATCAAACGAAAACTGTGAACAAAAAATCATCCCCCCTTAGTGGCTATTCGAAAATAGATTCTATCAGAGATAACAAATCAGCTGTAAAAATGAAGCAGAGTGCTGGGGCCTCCAAACCAGAAATAGAAAAATTAATGAAAACATCAAATAACGAAAATCTAAAATTTCAACAAACAATATTGGTAACTGAAACAGCGCCTAAAAACAAAGCAAAGAGTTATATGGCATCAACAGAATCTCGTGATAGGAAATTAGAAACATCGAATCAAAAATCTATACATTCTTATAAGATGACAACAACTGTTTCATCAACAAGATCTAGTCAAATTGTAACCGACAAAAAATCAACAGTTTCCAAATCTTCATCTAGAGTATCGATTACGAAAGTTCAGAGTAAAATTCCTGTAAAAAGTTCGTTACCGCCATTGGACACAAAGTCGTCAGTCGTATCCGATTCTAGAGTTCTTAGCGCACCTTCGCGAAAAACCGCTTTTGAATTCCAATTGCCATCCAGTAAATTAAACCCATTATCGCTACCAGGGAGTCCGGCTCGTAGTACCAATAAGGCAAACTCTCAAATTAGATCAGTGTTTATAACATCAGAAGTATTCTCGAGTCCTTCGAACCGCGCTTCGTCAGTGGAATTAGTGTATGAACAACCGAACCGATCCCCTTGTTCATCAATGTCCGAACAACAGCCGGCTTCTATTACCGAATCAGTTTCGTTAGAGGATGTGGAAACAACTCAATCTTCGAACTCCGACAACGAACGGGTATCTGAGGTACATACTTGTAATATATAAATCCAAATACACATTTGTACGATTTACCAATAAACGTTTTCTATTAAATTCGTGTTATCAATTCTACAAATACGTGTTAATTAAATATTCGACATTTAGTTAAATTAAATTCGTGTTAAAAACGTTGATCCAACTGAAAATGATTATTGGTTAACCTATAATATAGGTAGCTTACGAACTGCACCTATATACTATAATTGTAGTTTTTAATGATTTTCAATATTATTTATAAACCAATATGTATCATGAGTTATTTTAATCTGTACTACTCATTTGACCTAAAATATGACCATCGCACCGCTGGTAAATAGAAATTTTAATGCGCAGTTGATAGTTATAAAAACTGTATTAGGAATATTTTCAGGTGAAATTCATTAATTTCTTGGTAGCTAATGCAAATTCTTAATTTGTGTTATAATCCTTAAGTCATCATTTATCTAAATATTATTTTTAATAAGCACAGTATGATTGGCCTACCACTAATTTAAAAACGGCACTAAATTAATACTAATCTGTAGCTCAAAAAAAAATATATTTAGAACTTTAAATACTTGAATAAATAAAATATATATAGTTATATTAGACTCGGAACTAAAGGGAAAATGATCACAATTTTAAAAAAAAAATGTACGGTGAACAATATACTGTTTTAGTATGACCCAGAATACGGAATCTATTTGAATATACTTAACAAAAAATGATTTTCATAAACGGTTATAATATTATATGTATTATAACAAAAGACAAAACTGTAAGTGAAAATAAATTAGTATTTTCATAAAATTCTGTGATTAAATTGTGTAAGCGTTATGTTACTTTAAAAAATGTAATCACGGACATGGATGATTAACGAAATAAGATATATGTGTATATATTACTTATGTCTATTTTGCATAATGCCAATAAACCCCATTATATATTTTTACCTAAAGTATTGACGTCTACAAAAAAACTTATAAATGGATCATCATGCATTTTTTACCTAGTGTCACTGAAATAAATTGAAATGTTTAAACGGATCTATTTAGCTTTATTAAATAACTGTTACCATCATTTAAATTTTAATATTAAATATAAAAATAAGGATTAGAAAAATATTCTTCTAAAAATTTAGTTTTAAAACAATATATTTTCTACTTCACCAGCACTATATAATTAAATAAATTGTGTAGAATAATAATAATACAAATTAAAGATACAATTTAAATTTATAATATTTGTACAATGTACCTAGTAATATAATAAAAAAAGTTACTTAAAAAAAAATACTTTAAAATATTTTAGGCTATTTTATGAATTATATGATATAGCTTTGAAATCTCTTCTATATTTAAATAATTATATCAGTTACAATTCAAAATTATTTTCACAGATAAAATCATATAATTTTGATAGTTGGTCATTAGACAGCAATTTATCTTTAAATCAAATAAGCGTATCATCATCCATTAGCCATATGTCCGAAGAACACAGAAAGGACGTGCCACAAATTGCTATAACAGCATACGAATCCACCGAAGAAGATGCCGAGGTCAATAGCTTGTTTAATTCAACCACCGTCCAAAACAATACTAAAACACGTCAATCTCAGTCTGTTTCTCCCAAGTCTTTGAGACTGAAATCTAGAATCATACTAAAATCACCGACTCCTGATAATAATATAAATATATCCAAGTCTTTGTCTCCGGCACTGTCATCTGATTTCAATTATTTAACTGATGTGGAAGTCATGTCAGATTCTGACGATGAGAAAGATTTCGTTCGAACGCCCCGTTTAACTCCTAGTTCGATTGACTACTGTATTCTGACTGATATAGAAGACCTGAGTGAAGACGAAAGACAACCGACATCTAGTCAGATTAACGATGATCATACAGATACTGAATATTTCGATGAAGAAAAATGTTTTCTCAGCAAAGAAGAGCCGACAAGACAGCATGCCGATGATATTTTAGATTTCCCTCGCCCACATAGAGAAATTTTGTTCCATTCTAAAGACGGAGTAGTTCGTACTTTGACACCGACAGATGAAACAAATCTAGTATGTCTAAAAACACCTCTAGTAGAAATCAAAGGTTTCGAATCGGAAGAAGAAATAATGACTATGGAAGAAAATGACGTGCATGAGTCGAGCAAAGCAAATTCAACTCCGTACTATCACGACGTTGACGGTGGTGTAGTAGAGTCTTCGGAAAGCGTCAAGCCCGAAAGAAACAAACACAAATATAAGACGATCAAGAAAAAAATTGTAGTCCCGGAAACTGATTGTATAAAAAAGCGTTTTCGCAATAGAAATCAAAACAATTCCGAAGGCGAGGAAAATATCGGAAAACAGTTCGGTGAATGTGATAAAACTCTCTCAAAATATGCGTCAGAACCGATTACAAACAAGATGGCAGTTCCGTTACAACTGCAGCTTAAAAATAACAATTTGACCGAAATTCGTTATGAAGAATCTTGTAAAAATAATAAGTTGGTGATACACGACAATGTTAACGGATTTAGCGTTTCCGTGGATTTCGAAAGTCATAATTCTATACTGCTAAACATCGGTAGAGATTCGGGAAGTTTGTCGTTGAGATGGTATAATAACGAAACTAAAGCAGGTAGGATCTCTCCTCGTTTTATCCGTATTGGTAATTTACAAACCGTAGAACCTGCGTGTATTACAAAACCTAACTTAAACAATTCAAGACATCAATTTGACGTAGAATCGTGCACCTACGAAAGTATGAAAATTCATAAACGTAGGTACATTACCTATTTTATTGTGTATTTTATAGTAAGACCTAAGCATATAGTCCAGTATCATATAAGCAAACAATACCTAATTCAAATACCTATTACTAAACCACCGTTAGTTAATATTTGTTCTTTCAAGGATCAGTTTATAAATCAGAAGAGACTTCATCCTTCATCTATTACAGGACTATCTGCATTTAAAGTATTTAGTAGAGAACACGAAGCAAAACATAAAAGTAGAAAGAAAATTGTGTTAGAATCTAGAAAACACGTTGCCGATGTAATACAAATTTTTGAAAATATGTGTGATAATCCATCGGTAAGTCATACCGTCAATTATAAAACATCACAACATTATTATAAGGATCCTCAATTATTGACCTTGAGACAAAATGTTTCCTTTATGGCTAAATCAAATAATAAAATTGGTAAATATAATTAAATACTTTTTTTTAAATAATGGAACTGGTGAAGGAATAAATTAACACCTTATAAATTAGACTACAAAATGCAAGACAGAACAAGTAAAACTCACATTTCATTTTGTTGATTAACACATTATATCTAACATGCAATGTCTTGATAAATGATAAATCTACACATTTAACAACATAAAAATGTCTTTAATGCCTTGCATTTAATTGTTTAATTATTATAACTTTAATTTATTTTAGGAAAGGAAGCCAACTTCTCCCAACTTGAAAATGCAAAGCCTATAACTAGTTCTGGTAAGTTTTATAATTTAAAATGTAGTAAATTTATCCCAAAATTGTACACCAGTAAAAACAAAACTTCATTCATGATAGTTATTATATAAACTTTTTATACTTCCAAGTGAAAAAAATATGATTGCAAATAATATGACCGATTCCTTTGCTTTTGCTAATTTTAGCAGTACATTCGTTACCTTTTTAATACTTGGCTTATTAGAATATAAAACACAAAATATGCTTTACTAAAAATTAAGAGGTAAACACTGAACATTAAGCACAAATAAGTTTGTTATACGTTGTTTAAATGATATTTGAAAGCGATTTTATTCAATTTTATCACTTTTATTTATAATAATTCTTGTAGACCTGTGACCTCTCCGTTTCCTCATTGCTTTGATTACATTATGCCAATACTTTACTGTACTAGTCCTCTCGGATAAAATCACTTTCAAATAAACGCTTTGATGCCCATTTGTAAATACAGAACCTTCATTTAAAACTTTCTAACTTTGCTGGTTTATACTGTGCTTGGTTTGGACTGTACTGGCTTGAAAATACTAACTACCGATTTGCATCGAAGCGTTTTTTCGAAAGTGATTTTATCACTTTCAGATTTAAAAATTCCTGTAAACCTGTGACCTGCCCGTCACCACTATGCCCCGACCCAACTATGCTCCGTCCCCACTATGCACCGACCCCACTGTACTGGTTTTTTTTTTTTTTGCAAAAACTTAGTGGACCAAATAACACAAATACAATGTCTTGTTATATTTTGTTGGAATGGTCGACGATTCATGTTTCAATCGTTTGTACTCCATAGTTTAAATTATAATCGCTTATTCTCAATAAAATTAATATTTATGTATTATATACTTCCATTATAGCAATCTCACACAAACTATTTATACTTCACAGATTATATTATTTCAAAGCTATATTATACTTCTATTTTACTAGATTGACAATGTACAAAATAAAATGCAACTAAAAAAACCTTTTCATAGATCCTTAAAATGTAAAGGGTGGGTTAGTGAAACGGGTTTTACCATTTAAATACATTAGAAAATCGCCGTTTTACTGCCTCATCCTGTATATTAATTTCTTGTTATTTTCTAAAGAAAAATCGATTTTCTTACATTTAAATTAAAATAAATCGTATACTGGTACTGTGATAGAGAAAACAATAAATTTTACCTACATTTATTACTTATTAGTTGAATATTACTAACGTGTATAGCCACTAGCAGTCGGCTGTTGCCTGTTATTTAACAATAACCTTTTATGGAGATTTTAAAAATTGTGTTTTTTTAATAATAGCATAGGAGCAGTATCATGATGTTAAATGTTCACGAGATTTGATCTAGTCATAAAATAAAGTATTATCATTTATGACTTAATTATTATTAAAATTTATCTTAATAGTAATAGTACATAGTAATAAAATAATGAAAATTTTTTTACAAAATTAGAGCTACAAGTTGATAAACTAAAAAAATAAAATTAGCACGAAGCAGATTATCTAATATTAGACAATTTGAACAATCAAGCGTGAATCTCTTTAAATGAATAACAGTATAACAATATACAAAACATTAGTTTTCCTTTAAAAAAATTGTGTAATAAAAAAAACATTTTGAGGCGGTATACTGCATAAAAACCAACACTTAATCTAAATCCAAAAAACAACAGTCCTCTTCATTATTTGCAGGTAGTTGGACATTAAATACTCATAGTTAACCTTCGGTAAGGTTATATAACGCAGGCTATAAAATAACGAGATAACGACAGTGGTTTTGTCGTATCAGAATAATTAAGTGTCTTAACAAGTACACGGACAGGTTTTTTTCCCAAAAAATCGAGTGTCTACTATAATCAGTCACACGATTTAGTTTCTCACATCTGGTACACTGGGTTTTTAGTTTAAAAAAAACGGTTTTTTTTTTGTTTTTTCAACTTTCGTCTGTGAAGACTTAAACTTTTTCAACTATTACCCCCCCAAAGTTCAAACTAGACAAAATTTGTGATTTATAGAGTTGCTATTCGAAGGAATTGGTCTAGTATTAAAAAAGTTACAGTGTATACAGCGAAAAAAAAAGCCCACATCAGAGTAAAACCAATACCTTCTCGCTTTGCATCGAAGCTAAAACATATTTCTGGATTTTTGTGTAAAAGACATCAAAAGTGGTCAAATTATATGTTTTTTGGGTCGGTGATTACGAATTTAATATCAGTTCTCAATTTTAATCATCCGGAAAGAATTTAAGTAAAAAAAAAAAAAAAAGTTGAATTTGTGTAAACTTTAAGTCAAAAGTGGTACTTGAGCACAAAACCTAATAGTATCATTCTGCATAGATATAAATAAAATTGTTTTAATGATTTGATCAATTTTTTTTTAATATTTTAGGTGTTTTTGTTAAAATATACGCAATGTGCGAAAACACGGTTTTCCGGCAATTAAAAAAAAACAGTAGTGCCGAATTTTTCACCCGCTTAATATGTTATGGAAACATATGAGTTCCAACTACTGGCAAATTTTCAACCCAAAAGTTTTAAAATTACGGCTAAAACCCCCGAAAAACAAAAAAACTTGTACCCCCCCTAGGGGGGCGGGAAATGGGTATATTTTGAATTTGACAAAACTGACGTGCGCGGGCATACCAAATAAATATTTCTTATACATTTCAACTCGATCCGACTCTTTTTCTCGATACTATAGCCAGTAAAAGTTCTAACTTAAAAACTCGTACGGTTTTTTTTTTTGTTTTTTCAACTTTCGTCTGTGAAGACTTAAACTTTTTCAACTTTTACCCCCCCAAAGTACAAACTAGACAAAATTTGTGATTTATAGAGTTGCTACTCGAAGGAATTGGTCTAGTATTAAAAAAGTTACAGTGTATACAGCGAAAAAAAAAGCCCACATCAGAGTAAAACCAATACCTTCTCGCTTTGCATCGAAGCTAAAAGTAAATGTTAGAAGACAAACCTACTGTGTACTCAAAGGCAGTCTTGGTGTTTGAACAAACCTTTAAATACCCACATATATTATTATTAAGCAGTTAATTCTGTTGGGTGTTTTACAGGTTCGCCCAAAACAAAAACAACGCAATAAACCTGAACGTGGATGGAAATCCTTGTGGAGCTTTTCATCCTAATCAATACAATATGTTTTCAATAATCAAAACGAACTTTCTTATAAGTTTTATACGGATCAGTTATTATTTATCCCTGTGGTTACAGGAGAAAGAATTCTACCAAGGGATTCACACCTGTCGTAAAAGGCGACTAAAGTGACCTGGAACGCTCCGATAAGAAGGCTTTTGATTGGCCACTTCTTCTTGTGTCACACATTCTCCGGCCCGCGATTAGCACCCAGTGCTACTAGTCGGTTTGCAGTCGTAGGGGATCCCTTTTGGGCGAACCACTACAGCCAAGGATCAGTACTTATTGTTTTGTAGATTTAATATATTATTAATTCATCTATATTTATTTTAGTTAATTATATTTTGCTAAGTTGTCTTATACCTTACAGTGCTGTAAAATAATTTTGTACTAATACATCTTAACCAGATGGTCTCTAATAGCGGTCAAACTCCAATACACTAACCTTTTATTATGACATACTCGACTAGAATGTGATTTAAAACCGCGTACCGGCAGCATGTCTTTGAGCATACTCATTTAAGTACATACCGGTTTGCCATGGAATTATAATAAATCAATACAACCAATATTTTCGTTTAGCACGTACTGGACGGTATGTCTTCCAACATATCTCACCATGTACTACCCGTATTTTTAAAAATTCTTTTTAGGTTAGGATAACAAAGAATGACATTTTATGAAACATATATATATATGTTAAATTTTCTGTAGTCTCAGAATTATGTTAATTTTTGAATTGATGTTTTGTTTTTTTTTTTTAATTGTATTCCTTCAGTAGAATAAAGACAGCACTAAATATTGTGTTTGTTTTATGTAATTAAAATAACTTTTGTTTAGAATGATTAAAACTGTAATTCATAACCGTGTCAACCTTTGACAACCTATTAATGTGATTACACAATATTAAAAACTATGCATTAAAATATGGCGATAAGCAATTTATATCTTAGCCTAGCTTTTATAATACAAATAAATAAACAAATACCAACACACTTTTTTAATTGTAATTTAATTTCCAGGGAACGTTTTTTTGGACGGTCATTATAAACTATAAATACTGCCTTTTATGGGCCGGAGTGTCGGTCTCTATACAATGTCTAATGGTCCATACTGTAGGTGTTAAAAATTGTCAACGCGCACACACTCGAAGACGATCTTCAGTCACACCTTGCTAAATAATCTCAAAGGTCGAAATTTTATAATAATGTTGTAATCGCTTAATATTGCCTCAACGAGTGGCATAAATTATATTTTTAAAAAAGTAATAAAAACTTAACAATGATAAATAATTTCAAAAAACTGCCTTATTTTAAATTTATCGGAAGTGTTGTGGAGATACTAAACGGTTTTAACGGACAACGACGTAGGAAATTGGAAAATGGAAAATTTGGATTTTACGGTAACAATTTTTGTGATTACGATAACATTTTTAACGGACAACGACTTTGGAAATTGGAAAATTTGGATTTTATGACGACGATAATTCTAATGAATTTGATGGTGTGAAAGATGAGCCTCTTACTTTGGTAAGCCGGAGGCTGTTAAGGCGTGGGCAACCTATTGAAATGCATTCGGAAACGATTTAAATAATTCAAAGACAACAACATACCTATTACCATACCCATAAATATAGATAATATTATAGACAATTTTTTCTCGAATATTACAGTATCAAACTACCTAGTAGACAAATTAACACTAATATTTTATTACCTACAAAAACGTTTTGTACATTTTAAAACAATAATTTTTGGGCCAAAAGTAAATTCGGCGGCCAGAGACCTAATGAGAGGTGTTCCCTTCCTCACCAGCTTAAACTGTTTTAAATAAGGTGGACACGTGAACATAATTGGAATGTCGTCTAAAAATGGATTATTTTCAGTCTACACTATCACTCAGTCAATAAGCAGGAGTAACTATGTGCAATTACTATAATGAGTATGCAGTGAATTAAACGTCAGCGGAAAACCAAAGATATGAATATATCTAAAAATGAGCGACATAGGAATTGAAACAAAATACAAATCTAAATTAATAATCTATAATAAAAGAAAATCTACCTACTTATAATAATCATACCTCCAATCATGAACCATTTTCAGTTTTTCAAATCCTTAAAAGATAAAAATGTCTTCAGGTAATTTTACATCTCCCTTGTGCATTGGAAAATTTACTTTGATTGCGTTGAATCATGTACACGAGTAAATAACAATAACTATCTACTTGACAACTTAGAAAATAGTGGCCAGTCAATAAAATGAACAAAATGTATAAAATCACAGATTTCACATAGAGCTACCGATAAAATAATAAAGTCAAGGAGATTTTAGGAATAATTGCATGGAGGTTTAAAAAAATATATACAAATTTTGTCAACAAATTATTCGACGATTTTTATTTTAATTAAAAATGTTTTATTATACTATTTGTTTTGTACCTTCATACACATAAAACGCAGACACTTGTTTTTCTATTTAAAAGTACATTTTTTCAGATTTTCTCCAGGCTAAGACTCCAGGCTTCTAGTTTTATAATTTTTTTGACCTTTTTATGTTTTTATGTGTCTCTATGTAACTTATGTTTTAAACATAATATTTTCTTCTTTTATATCTACTCCTTCACATATATATTTTTCTTGAAACTTTGATATTAAACTTTCAAGATGTCCTAAGGAGTTAATACTGCCAGAAACTTGGTCGTATAAAATACTACCTGTTTATAACATCTTGTACAAAACATGTTCTAGAATTATCATTTTTTTTTTATAAATATTTTAAAGTCATTGTACCACACATATTTAAATTAGTTTTGTTTTGCAATTACTCTAGCTTTATAAAATTAATCTCTGTTAAATTGAGTAAGTTCATTTTTAACAAAAATTGTATTGTTTCCCAAATTAATGTTGAAATTATTTGCGTTTATTTTTTTACTCTTCGTATGCTCCATCATTTTATTTTTATTTTCAATCGAGTCAATCTCAGCAATTATTTTTTTTTGGTTTATTTAAAATGTTTGAAAGCATACAAAAAGCTAGTTTAGTTACTGACAATTTTATACCCAACTTGTCTGCGATATTTTCTACTATTTCAATACTCTATTCAGAATAAGAACGGTCCGGGTTGCACATATTATGATCCTATAAACTTGCAGTAAAATATTTAAAAAAAAAACAATTTGATTTGTACAATTATAATAGAG